ATTACAGTAACACAGTTGCCATAATAAAGAACAAGCCATGATACAAAATTCCATTACCTGCTAAATCCCAGTTCTTTCTTATAACACCACAGAACTGTTGGTCTTGCTTTGACTGCTGTCTTGGATAGCATGTGATGGAGAATGACAACCTCAAAAAATTAAAAAAAGCGATATTTGACTGGTTGCATGTCTCTACAAATCCATATATATTTCCAAGTACACTGCATACCTAACTGTTCTGTGTGTTTAAATAAACTAAAAGCAATATTCAGTTGCTCAATGAATTAGCCTAATATATTATTTGCATATGCTGACATTAGGACAGATATGCATATATAACATGTGTGTACATGCATGTGTATGCTCAGAGAGAAGATTCCCATTCATCCCTGATCATCAACATTATGATATCAGGTCTAAGAAGTTAATACTTTCATTCATCATTGCATAAGTTAAATGTGTAAATGAGCATGTCACATACATTCAGTTGTGTTCTTTTAACTATTTGTTCTCCCCAAAGCAATACTAGTTAGTTACATGTTACTATCTCTTTCGATGCTTCAAATGGTCTCAAGCTTGTCACATGACATTTATACGCCAGGACAGTTGCACAGTTGTTACAGAAATTTGATTTTCAAGGAGATATTTTTCAAAATCTGCAGTCCCATGTTACGTTACTCGCAGAGGGAGAAATCCAAACCGTTCTCACGGCATGCAAAAATAAGAATGTTAATTTGGAGCTGAAATAAGATTTAGGAAGACCACTGAATAACTTGCAAAACGCATACAACCAGAGACATCCAATTCTACCATGAAAAAAGCCTTACTTCGAACCAACTGAAACTAATTTTTGTCTCTCTAAACAGGATATTTGCCCTATGACGTTTATTTTGGTGAGACGCTGATGAAAACAAACATACAAATCCACTTACATCGCTTATGTACGTAGGCAAACGTACTTCGTTGGTTGCGAATTTACTCAGTGATACTGAGACTTCAAAACGACCTATCAATTATGGTTCTACTCACTTGATCTCTTCCTTTATCACCCACAATAACAAACAGTGATCGCTGCTTCTTCTGGACGCCATTTTCAATCAAAACTCTGATGCGATTGTCCACTTTCTTCAACACCATTTTGTTGAGGTCTCCACGTGTTGCAAACTTTCCGTCATGTATGTACACTTGAAAGGAATATTCGTAGCGGCCTACATAAAGATGATTACACCAGGCGCTTTGGTCAGCGGAGCGTCTTAAAAACGTGATCGCGAATCGATTGTACTAAGGATCGAAAAAAGTCCGAATTTTTAGATAAAAATGGAGCCGATCTTGCCAGCTTTTATCGATGTTGGGGAACAGGACCAAGTAAGCTTCTAATTATGTCGTATATTTCGCTATTTTAAACACTCAACGCTTAGTTTTGAAGTTGATTATCAGTTCGTAGAAAAACTTTTCGTCACATGTACATGTACTTGAGCTTTGAGGAAGTCTCATTAAGTACGACGATTTTATCCTTTTCCCCTTTGTGCGATGTATTCCTAAATGTACGTGAAATGTTTTAATAACTTGAAATTATCATGCGAGGGAACATCAATTCTTTCATGAATTTTTAAAGTCACATAATACAACTGCAAGCATAAACAGCTTTTGCATCTTACAAATCCATGTTCAAGCTTACAGTTGTGGTCTGCTTTAATGTTTATCAAGTTTTTCCCAGAGGACCATAAGTTATAAATGGGAAGATTTTTCCTAGCTCCTTATATGAGCCATTTATGCGTTCAGAACAAACGAATTCCCTTATGCCATACTCTCTAATATGCAAACGATAATGCTTACACAAGAAGCTGACTTTTTGTCAAGACCAAGAGAAAAACTCCTTTTGTTTTTGTTCAAATCAGGCTCTGGAAATTCGAGGTTATCTTAAGTCCTGTGGTGCTGATATAAATGAAGAAAGTATGTCTCCATTACATGAGGATTTGGAGCAGCTGTTGGTGGCATGCGACATTAACTTCAAGTCAGAAGCAGGTATGTGCCTGAAATTTCTTATTATTAGACAAGTATGATATTTGAAAGAAATAATTATGAAAGTGATCTTCACAGTAATGAACACTTCTTAATAAGCAGTAGTGAAAATAGGGCCTTAAAGAAAATTCAGGCCTGTACAGGATTTGAGCCCATGGCCTATAAAATAGTGTACAGTGTAAGGGGTAACAGTTCCATTTTGTTCTGTTTTTATTGTCTTTTCCTTTAGAACTTGAAGGGGTCATGAACAGCCTTCTTTCCCTGATACTAATCGTGACAGAAAAAAGAGATGACCTAATCAGAAAATTTTGTGACAAAGTGGCAGAAGTAAGATCTGATGAGGACACATCACTGACCAGACTTAGAATGTAAGTAATCTTACTGGCATTGTGATTTTGATTCTGAAGAGAAAATATTTTTTTTCTTTAGGGCAGCTGTAAATGGGCAACATTGTCTGCCTTATAGTTAGTGTATTATGTTTACAATGCCAAGATGAAAGAAATGCCATGGAAGACTTCCACGTAATTGTTTGTACACCCCAGTACTTTCATAAGTTTAGCAGGGGAGCCTCTTAAAATAATTATATAAAGTTCTACAGTTGTTTCTTCTATGGTGAAAGTAGACATCTCCTGTTACCATTAACTTTTATCTGGATAAGATTCAACCACTGAGCCCAGTTAAACAGTTTGGAGTGGAGTACACAAACAAAAATCTCTAAGAAAATAAATTAAATGCAAGACCATATTTCCAGCAAAGGGTTAAACCCTTTTATTTCATAAATACTTAACAAACGACTGTGAAAATGCATCATTTGTCCAATCTGAGACACAATTGATAGTCCTTCACAGTGGAGAGCAACAAATGGTTTCCCATCTTTGAAATGTGTCTCTCAGTTAGAAAAAATCTCAATATGTACCTTGAAAAGTGCTTGAACAATTTTTATTCATTTGTTGCAATGCATCAAAATACTCAGTCTTTATTTTTCTTGATGTATTGCAACTCATGAATAAAAATTGCTAAAGCACTTTCCATGGAATGATCTCTGTCTATTACATTAACCCTTTATACCTTAACATTAGCATGCAGACTTTCCATACTGTTTGCAATAATTTATGATTCAGAGGTGATGATGCACGGAGAAATTTGATACTATTGACTCTAAGGAGTCACAGGGTTTATAGGTCGAAAAGTCACTTTCACAGTCCATTATCATTGTAGCTGTAGGGTTTAAGAAGGAGATCTTTACGTAATTAACAATTATTCTATGAGCACTTGTTCAATACAAGATCATGATGGTAAATAGCCTACAAGGTGCATAGCACTGAGCTAGTGTACAGCCACGTCATACCCTCCAAACGAAAAATTGGTTTCCTATGCCAAGCTGGCTATTGGACAAGCGTGGATAAAATAATTTTTTTATGAGATTTCATTGGATCCTGAACATTTGAATTTTTGGAGCCTTTTCCAGCTTTGTAACAGTTGGTGCAATGCACTTCCTTACAAGGTGACTCAAAATACAATCATATATGAGCTTATAGCCGTGCATGAATGAACCAATTAGAGCACTAGAAATACCATGTTTGGAGTAAAAAATTTAGCAATTACTGATAACTTCTGTATCTGATGAATAACAGACTAAGCATCCTGCTAAACTGGCTTCATGAAAGAGATCCTGTCCGATATGATGTTTACTGCACTCAGGTCAAGGTTGCAGGAAAAGCTGGTTTGATTGATCAGATAAATGTATCATTGGATCAGGTAGGGGAGGAAAACCTTTGCTTTTGATTTTTTTTTCTAATTTTTTTATAAACAAATAAAGTTATATATAGCACATATATATATAACTATCCTTTCATTGGTTCATGTGGTCCTGGAGATTGAAATCATTGAATCTTAGGGTATAAATTTAAGGTCAAAAAATAACAATGGTGCACCTGCATGTAAGCATGGACACTCCAATAAAAATTTACTTCTTGGATTACTACCTGTATTTCCTCTTATCACTGCCTAAAATTGTGCAGAATTCTTAAAAATTCAACAGGTGAAAGGATTGCTCTGTTAGTTTCAATTGAAAATGTCATTTTACTGGTTTTGCTTAAATAAGGAGGAACACCGACCTTGCCTCTGGACTTAAAAACACTCATCTCTCCAGTCAAGACTCTTGTCTTGAGAGAGGGTGGTAGCAATCTTTTAACCCTTTAAAACCCAGAAGTGTTTGACACACAAATTCTCTCTACAATATCCAAACATTTTCCAGAAAACAGGTAATGAGAATATTCAAATTTATCACACAAAAGTTGTTACCTTGATCTCACACCGAATTCTTACAACTAATTTACAAGCAAATGTGTAGCAGTAAGAGGGGAGAATTAACAATCAGATCTTGGGAGCCAAAGGGTTAATTGGTTCTGTATCTGCATTCCAGAGGAAAAGGTTTCATAAAAAAGATATTAAATTTATTATGTTGTTGCACTTTAATTAAAAATTGATGTTCTTGTGGTGGTGGTTTTATAGACACTTATATCATGTTTAATCCTTTGTATCGCTATATAGAGTCAGGCTGTCAATTGCAATGATCATGACATGAGACAGAATTAAACATACATTTATATTAATATATGTTTTTAAAGTTTTCTTCCATTTTATTTCATGTTTCTGCACATTTAGGTTAGGAGTTGGCTAAACATGTGGGAAGTGGATGGAGTGAAGGCCAGAAAAGTATACAGATTGCTTTTTGATGCCTTGACAGAAGACAGACAAAGGCAAGTCTGAAATAAGATTTTTATTATCACTTCATTGCAAATTGCTCTACGTACTGCGGTACATGCAAATGTATGTAAATGTGAACCCTTGTTTGTTTTGTAACAGTGAGGAGGCCACATCAGTCATGGTCGAACTCCTTAGGACATACACTGATGAAAATGCATCTGAAGTGAAAGATGATGCCAAAAATTGTATTGTGAGTCTTTTGGGAAGACCGAATGTCCTCATCATGGATTTCCTTCTGACACTTCCACCAGTTGCAGCTTTGCAAGGGGAACCAATTTACCAGGTACAGTCCTGTTAAGCTTTTCACTCCCAAGAACTCAATGGTAATTCTCCTTACTATCTGTCACACAATTCTTATGATGTTACTTGGGAAAATTTGGTATTGGATCAACTGATAACCCCCTCATTTTCTTTGTTTTTGTCATTTTTCTGCTTGATATTGTAACAACATTGTAAGGGGAAATTCTGTCTTGGTCACTCTTGTTAAAGGGTTAAAACAAAGTGATCATAATGTCCATGTACATGTAGAGCCATTTTTTGAGTCAGTGATGCACAGAAGCTGTAAATTTAAAATCAAACCTAAAGTAATAAAAACGGCGTGTTCAAAAATAGAGATGGTGGCTAGGATTTGTTGTCTGATGAGCTGAATTATACCTGCATTTTGATGGGTTTTTATAATTGTGATCTATTGGAGAACAGATGATATGAACAATCTTTTGCTCTTTTTTATTACTGATATAAAACAAAATAATAGATTCTATGTTGCCATGGGTCTTTACTATACAGATTAATAGATCACAGAGAAAGTTGAACCCTTTAACCTTTGAGAGTGACTAGCATCTAATTTCTTCCTACAATATCACCACTGAATCACACATTGAGGTCATGAGAATAAAGGGAATGATCACCAACTGAAGAAACTCTCGATTGTTAGACAATTTCTCCTGGTCAGCACCTTAGTAAATGTATGGAGAATATGAATACTGATGTCAGGGACTGTAAAGGGTTAAATGTGGTAAGAGCATCTGTGGTCATTACTGAACAGATGTATGGCAAAATGGAATCTATTGGTAAAAGAGAGCAACAGGCTTGTTTTGCTGCAAGTTTGTTATATATATTTCTGCAGAACTTTCTCCCTGTTGCCTTTGTCAAAAAACTTATAAAATGCCTGTTTGTTCTTTCACTAAGCTTCTGACCATCTTTGTTTCTGGGAAACTTGCTGACTACATGGAATTCTATGAAAAGAACAAAGATTTTGTGGATTCTTGTGGTAGGTTCTTCTGGATATATCCATTTAAACCATGCTGCAGAAAAATATTGTCATGCAATCAGAGAGCTGTGTTATTTTCAACAGTATTGCTCCTAACCATCTCTTCATATACTGCAATCCTATTTTTACCAAAATTAAGTAAGCAGTGCCATTTCTACAGAAAAAGAAATTAAAAAAAAAAAAAAAAAGTGACTTAACCATTTGATCCCTTAGAGTGATTCGCATCCAATTTCTCTTTACAAACCACCCCTAAATCACACATGAAGGTTTCAAGAATAAAGGAAATGATCACCAACGAAACAAGCTCTTGATTTTAAAACAAATTCTCCTTGTCTGCACTTTAGGAAATGTATGCAGAACAGTATGGGGAATATGCATACTGATGTTAGGATGCAAAGGGCTGAGGGATATCCCTTGGTTTACCACTCTAAAACATTGTGGGGCAGCTAGTAAATACGCAATACAAATGCTGTACACCAGCCAAAGCTTAAAAATTTTATAAATTGTCAACAGCAGATGACAGCTGACCCTTTAACTTGTGTGGTAACCATTCCTGCACAAACAAAAAGTCTTATTTTCCTCTTTTTGCATAGCCAGAATGTGGAAAAGCTCTTCGTTTATCAGGAAGTTTTGCTACTCAGGCTGGGGATCATTTTAGTTTTTGACTGTATCAGGGCTGCACTTATCTGGGTTTCACCAACAAGACTTTGGCTTCTAACCTTTGTTTTAAATAGAAATGTTGCAGTGTAGAAGAGAGGTTATTCTTTTTCTCTGAAATTGGTATTTTGTATTGTTCAGGTTTGACTCATGAGAAGAACCTTCACAAAATGCGAGTTCTAACATTCATGTCACTTGGGGAAGCAAAATCAGAGGTGCATTTTGACGATCTCTGTAAGGAACTCAATATTAGTGTGGGTGAAATTGAGGAATTTATCATAGAAGGTACAGTATTTTATCACTGTATACTATCATGTTTTCTGAAAGTTAAATGGTGTCCTTGTCTGTTTGGTTTTTGAACGTCTTAAGTCATGCTTAAATCAGTTCATGTGATGGTGTAGGCCTGGTATATAGTTGACCCACTTTCAATAAGTAGAAATAAATTCGTTTCCTTTCGTTTATTCGTTTATTCTATTCTAACTTTTAACATAATCAACATGGAAAACATACCGTATTGGTATGGGTACGAAACGACTCAACTGACTGGGTACGAATCGACCAAGCTTGGTATGAAACGACTGGGTTCAAAACGACCGTGAGTAGGTCTACCGACGATAGCCCTCTTCGAGACTTTACTCGACCGAACGACCAGCTGTTACTCCCAGGTTCAAACCTTTTTTTGGAGTATTTTTCTCCCTTTTTACTTCATACTAATTGTTTGATTATCACTTTTGGTACCTTTAGGTTATCCGAAAATTTGCCGTTCAAATATCTAAGCTGTCCTTGAAGTTTTATTAAGGATTTTTTTTTTCTTTTGGCAGCACTTCGATCAAAACTCATTCGTACCAGGATAGACCAAGTCAACAAGAAAGTCATCATCAGGTAAAGCAATTTGCTGGTAGTGCAGTTTTCAATTGAGTGGCGAAAAACCAAAGCTTTCACAGCTGCCATTCAGAACAAAGGTTAATATCATAATCGATCAATTAGAACTCATAGTAAAAACAGGCAACCTACTTTAAGCGCGGGAAAATGCGGGTGACCGAGTTGCGATTGGTTTTAGTATTGCATTTGATTGGTTGAGATGATGGCGCGAGTTTTCTGAACCAATCGCAGAGCGAAGTAAAGCAAACTAATCACTGTGGCCAATCAGAACAAAGGTAAATGTCTCAAAGAGCCATTTAAAATTTAAAGTAAAAATCACCTGCCTAAAGGGCGGGAAAACGCGAGTGACAGGGCATTGTCGGATTTAGTTTTTCATCTGATTGGTTGGGAAGGTCTTTCCAAATTTTTTTGACCAATCACCGAGTAATGTTGATCAAAACTTATGTAATCTCGGATGATTAAAATGCTTTAATACTTGTTCTATGTAAATACCTTCACCTTCGCAGCTCAGCGACACATCGAACGTTTGGTACCAACCAGTGGCAAGAGTTACGAGATCGCTTGGAAGAATGGCGCCAGAGTTTGCAGAGTGTTGGTACAAGTCTAAAGGCTGTTGTTCCCGCTGTAGATGGATAATTGAACCATTAGAAATAAAATTTTCAATAAGCTGTTGCCTCTTCTGATCACTGTCTTGAAAAACTTCTTCGATCAATGTCAGTACCTGAGCAACTGCTCACCTACCCCTCCCCCCCTTTACTCAGGTAAGTTAACTGTTAACAAGCTAGGGTTAATGTTGGATTAGGGGAGGAGCTTGTGCGCAGTTGCTCGGATACTGATTTCGATCCGACTTTTTCGCGATTACTGAAGTTGCTTTGCGTGAAGAAGTTTTTATAATCGCCTTTTCAGATAAATAGACGAAGTTGTTATAATTGTCTTTTCGAATTTTTTGAATTTTTTTTGGTGTGCTCGTTAGGAGTGAAGCAAACGGCAAAATGTGGTGTGAAATATTTAGGCCATAGTTTCCACTTAGGTATGTGGAGACCGCGCACTGAGTCATTAAGTCATTGTGTCAGTGGCTGGTAAGTCGCCGTGTTAGGTATTACCTCAAGGGCTACAATTGTTTTGATCCAGAAGTAGCCGAAAAGTCGCTATGTTTGTGGCATGATTTTGAGCGGTACTATTATTTTGGCTCCATAATTCTCTCGTGTGAATAGACGGACGAAATGCGAGGTTTAGAGACTCTATACCAGGGCGTGAAATTGCGCCTAATACAGGCGCCAGTGGCGAATTATGCCGTTATCTTAGATGCCGATTGCTGCACAGATAATGGTCACGTTCAAGGCGAGGCCTTTCGCTTGAGAGGAGCACGCCGAATATGCGGATCGAATCTGATGATGACAACGTAGGAGCAACTGCAGAATACCCTACCACTTTGGTCCACCTCATTAACATGTGTCGAGAGGCTCTGAAGATCGAGGCATAACACAATAAACTTTATTCTTATTCAATGACATGTAAATGAGTGGCAGGGTATTCTGCAGCTTAGCCGACAACGTACTTTGCAGGAGTAGACCGTATAGATAAAACGTGAACTTTCTTGACTAAAAGTGCTAAAATACGAAAGTCAGTCCAGTGGCCTGGACACCTTTAGTCATAACTTGATCGAAGAGAGAATGATCGTGTAGACTTATATGATGTACGGCTTGTATGCAGGTGATATTGAACTGTTTATCATTGGAAAGTACGAGCAACTTATTCAAATTCCAAAGGGTGTGTTTTTGTCGCCTGAGACTATAAATATCAATGGTTGTGGGTGAGGATAGCTGAGAAATTAAATGTCAGAGGAGCAAAGTTTAAAATTTGGCCATGACCGACGATAGCGAGAAACCCACAGCAACAGATAGCATTATAAACGACGAAAGTCAAGTTGATCCCAACACGCCGACAATCGAGGTAAGTGATGTTTTGGTGCTGATCGACAAATTCGTCGAAAATGTTGGAGTATCATGGTTAGAGGAACTTGTTATATTTTGTGAATAACCGCTTACTTTTATCATTGTGTTGTCCATGCATCATAGGTCTCCATCGCTAATGTTTTCATTTTGATCGTAAATTTTTGACGTTAAATTCAACGGGTGAGAAATTCAAATTTGTAAACATTGCTTTGCTCGCTGTTGGAATAGTCTTCGCATATCGTCGAATGAAAGAACGATAGCCCTTGAAAAAATCAGTTCGTCGTCGATTATGATTTTTCTCTCACTCTGCAAGTGCAGATAAAGAGAATTCAGCGAAGAATTTTGGACAATTTTAGTTCGAAAATAAAGTGCGTTTTGAACTGAAAGTGTGGCAAATTGGCAGCTGATGTCTGCTTGCATTTGTACACCTGCTAAACGTTTAGTTTGATCGTAGCCATGGCTTGCTAAAGAGCTCTTTAAACATAACACATTAAGTGCAGTAATTTCCTTATCTAAACACAGTTGTGAAGGATTTCCGTTGACAGAAATTTTTATTGTTCTAAAACAAAGCCGTTAGTGTCCTAAAGACAGTATATTGTTTTCGTCGCTGCATGCATAATGTAGTACAGAACTGTGCGGAATTCTCGCCCATAGTTGTTGTATACCTTTTTCACTTGGCTATTTGTAGTTAGTTTGTATTACTTTTGTCTTCCCTTTGCGAGACCACGTGATTGTATTCCTGTACCTGAGAAATATTCCTTTCAAATTATACTGTGGCGGTGTACTAAACATCATACGCCTGAACTGGGGTAACACAGATGACTAAAAATGCCTATTGCTATAACTCCTTCACTTGTTCCTTCATTGTTAACTCCTTCTCGTATTAAGCAAAACACCAACAGACAACAGTTTAAAGAAACATATTTAATTCTCTTGTCAAATTGTCAGAACAACTTTAACAATGTGATTAATTACTTTGAGCTGATAACTAAAATCTGAACCACCTACAGTTAAACCCTTCCTAATCCTGCAATAATAGTAAAATTTGCAGTATAAGTATAAAGCTATTTGGTCTATTTTAAACTACTTTGTCTTATTTTGTTCACTCACCAATCTTATTGATGTTTCACACTGATTTTTCTATTGCGCTTAAATCAAAGTACATGCGCATGACATGTTCCCAAATTACACCCTTAAATCAGTTAGCATCTTCTCTATACTGCTCTCCATACACGTCCTTAAGTGCTGACCAGGAGAATTTGTTTAACAATCAGGGGCTTCTTTTGTTAGCAATCATTTCCTTTATTCTTG